TTAAGGTAAAATTTTTAAACTTTACCGTAGTTTAATTTATTTATTTTTAAATTGAAAGTATTAGGTCATCAAGAAATTAATGTCACTTTATTTTGAGATGAAAAAACTCGAACAATTTATATATACAAAACAAACATATATTTAATGAAATAGTCTCCGTTCTTATTGATGATGCTTTTCCAATTTACAATCAGGTTGTTAATGTCCTGATTAAAGAAATCACATGGCTTTGAAGCAAAAAACATGTCAATGTCTCCTTTAACACCTTCCACATTTGCATATATTTTCCCATTAAGATGGTGTTGCAGCAAATGAAAAAGATGGTAATCTGACAGTGCCATATCTAGAGAATATGGTGGGTGGGGGAGAACTTCCCAACCCAACTCCATAATCTTGTGTTGCATCTAACGTGCTACATGTGGACATGCATTGTCGTGGAGAAGAAGAACATGGTTCCGATTGACGAGTGAAGGGTGTTTCTGATGAAGGGCTTGATTTAAACATTCCAGTTGTTGACTATAGATCTCTGCATTGACATTTCGCTGTGGATTCAGGAGTTCGAAATGAATTACTCCTTTAATGTCCCACGAAATGCAAAGCATCATTTTCTGGGAATGGAGCCCAGGTTTTGGGGTTGGAAGTAGTTTTTGTTTAGGACTGAGCCATTGTTTTTGGTGTTTAATATTTGCATAGATAATCCATTTTTCATCACCGGTGACAATTCTGTTTAAAAATGATTCATGAGCATTACACAGCCGACGAGATGAAGCAACATTCACATGTTGGAAATAATGATCATCGGAGAGTTCACGAGGCACCAAACACCTTCTTTATGAAGTTTTCCCATATTCCTTATATGTTTACGTATTGTTTCATCAGAGACATGCAATATCAGGGCCATTTCACGAGTGTTTTACGTTGGGTTAGGCTCAACAAGGATCTTCAGAGCATCAATATCAATTCCAACATGTCAGTCCCTGCCATCACAGTTTTTAAGGCTAAAGTCACCTGAACAAAATTTGCTGAACCATTGTTGACACTTATGAAAGTTCAAAACAATTCCATAAACTTCTTTGATATTCTTTGTGGCTACAGAGGCCTTGTTTCTCTTTTTGTATTCAAACAGCATTACATCCCAAATGTATGTCTTGTCGTGTGCCATCACTATAAGGGATTAGAGTATATTAAACTTTACACATTATATAGGCTACATTGACGTGCCATTTAAATGGTTCGTTTAACTATTATACGTGATGTACGTTTTTTGGGGGTGGTTAATGAAAGTGTTCCAAAATGCAACATTAAATTCTTTATCACCTAATACTTTCTATACTGTTGTAAGATCTTTTTTTTAAACTGTGTATAATTTTAAAGAACAAGATTTACATAAACCCAAGATGAGGAAATAAACCCACAAAAAATTAGTGAGCTAGATTTAGTTAATGAAACTAACCAGTCTTAGCCAGGAACATGTATGTATGTATATATTATTTTCAAGATGTTTTGCTACCATGCAAGTTACATAATATGTACTATTAACTACTTCAGCATGAAGCTTACAATAGAAACTGTACATCAGATACCAAATTTTGGCTTATTTTAAATGGTCTTTTTAACCATGGAATTGCTATAAGATACTAATTAATGGACTATAAAACATAAGACAATAACATATACCAGTGTTTAGTTTAAGTGTTTAGGTCTTCTGTTCCAGTGTACTAATGTTCAACTATGTGTTATGTTAGAATTAAAACGCGTATTAACCCTATGATGATGATCTACTTACATTGTAAGCAGGTTATATAACTCTTATGAAAGTTCTTTACAAAAATGAAACTAGTGGATGAAATTGTTTTGAAATTTGACTTGAACCTTACTAAACATAGTTAGTTTCAGAAAAATAAAATATTTATTTATTTTTTTCAAACTACGTCTAATAACACATTATTTAATGTAGTTATTTGCGTTTGTACTCTGAATATTTCACTTGCCAGGTGATTTTCATTTTGAGTATAAAAATACTATTTATTATCTTACAGTTTTCACATTTCACTTGCATAATTTCTAGAACCTCTTAAATGAATAAGTTTTTAAGGCAAATTCTTATTTTATTTTTTTCATTTTCTCCACTATATCATTAACTCTAGTTTTTAACATCAACGTACATTGGAATGAAATGTTTAAAATTAAGAAATGGAAATATGTACATACCTTTTATCTCTTTGTAGAAGTCTTTTGAAACTTGTTTTTTGAATATGTGTAATTTCTTGTCTTTATCTTTTCACTTACAGTTTATTTTTAATTTTCCTTTCAAATTCTTTGTCTTTTATTATTTATGCTGGTACATAACTGGTCCCCGCTGGGCTCTATTATTATTATATAATAATAATAATAATACAGCAACTACTGTGCACAAACTCTTTCACTAAAGCTCACACACGAATGATGCCATCTTGTTTAGGACATTTTACAATCCAAGCTACTACAAGTTAAACGTATAAAAATCATTAAACCTTTTAAATATGCATTTTAAAAGAGAAATAATATGTAATTAATTAAGATATAAACGTAAAATCTTAATGCAGTCTAACAGTCTAGCAAACTAATACATATAAGGCGAGAAACACTTGCGAAGTGCTACATACCCCTCGAGAGAACAAAGAAATTAGCTTCTTTTGTATCTCATAGTACAAATCCATACACTGGTAACGTTTTTTCATGTATCAAGTAAATAGTGGGAACCTGCTTTTTCTGTTGGTTATAAGCATGCCATTCAACTTCAAACTATCGCTTAGCAACACAGCTTCGACTTTGCAAGTGTATGTGGCTGACCTTAAACTTACAAAAAATTTACAACATTTCATCTGTGGAGAAATTCTAGGAAAGTTTTCAAATGGTAATGAAATAACTCTGTTTACTGTACTTTGACCATCTGAACTAACAGTCGATATTAGCTACTCACAGTTTCTTGTATAAGAGCTCTTAAAAGTTGAGAATTGTAACCACAAGCAGATCACACAATAGCAGTTGTAGTTGCTGTTTTAGATGTTTCTTTTTCAAATAAAGGAATAAAACTTAGATAATGTAGAACTTTAAATTATAATGTATTTGATAATAATAATTTCATTAAAATACATGTATAGTAAAGTGGTTTAATTAAATTTTGAATGTAACTCAGTAATGTGCACAAAAGGATGGGTAACGGGGTTTAAAATTGGCATCATAGTTATAGTTCATTATTTTTTTTATGGACAATAAAATAAAAACCTGAGATTTCTGTTGTAAAAAACAGCACAACATATACACACACAATAAAATGAAAATCAAGTGTTTTGTACAAAAACACAGAAGATTTATGAAAAAAAAATAAGTTCTTGAAACTTTTCTTTGTAAACAGTAATACAAAAAACTTCTCACAAGAAACTGTATTTGAGTGATATAGTTTTGACATTTGTTATCATGACAATCAAGAGATTCACTGTGCCATTTACTGATGTGTTCAATGCAGCAGGATCCAGGATTACCTTTGAAACTACTGCATGTTTTCTGTTTCCTTTCAGATATTGCTTTCGTAAGACAATCTGTGTTTTTTATTCAAGTCTGTTTTTACCTGTCTTTGGAAGAGATGAAACAAAGGCACGTACAGGGCTGTCTTATGCAGGCACTGGAAGTGAAAGTTGCCTCATAGCAACATATTCAGCACTTTACTTTGAAAGCATATTGTCACAGCAGTATAAGAGATACTCAAAGTAAAGTATTTATCTCTTCCAATTACAAGGTGATTAAAAACTTGACTGTTTAGTGTCACTGGTAAGATGAAGTGGCTGCCTAGTTTTTAAACCAAGCAAGAATTTTATGAAGCTCGTATGGCTTTAAATCTTAATCACAGGCATCCATTGCTAAGATAAATTCATTGCATTTTTCAATGTGGAATGGCTTGTTATATTAAAAAAAAAAATGCTCCAATACAAAGAAGTAATTTATATAAACCTATCTGCATACCTTTTGGTCATTACTATACACTTACTGCTTACTTATTGTGCCTTCTAGCCAGCACAAATTGTTGCTTCTCACTAACCATACTTATTCTTTATTCAGTGTTTGTTCTACAACTGCCTCAGGTACATTTTGTTGGATTGAATAGTCCAAGTGATATGTGTATTTTGGGAAAGCTCAAAAGTTGCAGTCTCATAAACATGTACCAATTGTCCACAATAATGTGAGACCCTTGATTTAGCAAATAATCAGTTAAATACACAGTTGTTCTTGTATATTATGGTGGCTAATGTCATACTTATGTCTACCAGAAAATTCCAACTGAAATTCCTCAGACTTCAAACACTGTAATGTGTACAGAACTATTTTTTTTTTTTAATTGAGCTGTTGTTAATTTTATGTACTTGTACCTCTACTGTTGAAAAGTTTAATACTTCCTTCCATAAAACCTATTGCTCATCTGTGACTATTTGCTGTCCCAGGTCAACTAAATTTGTTGATTTTTCTTTGAACTTTGATAGAAGTAGCTCCAGTCTTATAATTAAAAATCCCAAATAATAGATGGAAAATAGCAACCTAAACATGTACAGCATGGCACTGCATGTACTTTTTTTGACATATCTACCTGTGGCAAGGGTTAAAGAAGTTAAGAGGTGGGGTGATTAATATCTATATTGAGATTAATTAGTAATCAAAATGCTAAAAATAAAGTATGGAGTGAACTTCTTTTTCAGCTTATAAATTTTAATTGGCTATGACTTTTTCTGTTTTAAATTTTCTTACATAAAAATATTCTATTCCATTGAGATTCTCTCTTAATGTTTGATTTTTAGGTGTCTGTAAGATTTAATATGCACGTAAACATTGCATTTGACCAGACATATACAAATCTGGAAGAGTAAAAAGTAGCAGGAAAAAATTTTTTTATTATTATATTAAAAACTAAAAAACTTTGCTAGTAATTTATCTACATTTTATGTTTCAGGCAGTGGCATAATGTCAGGTGTGACTGTTCCACTTAGTGTTATAGAAGGATCTGACCCAAATACAATGTCAGTTACTGGACATGTTGTCACTCATTCTAGTCCTGCAGTTGGGCCCATGAGTGATACCTCTCTCTCCATTCAGGGGTCAGGCTTGCATTCTATGAATCCAAATTTAAGTACTTTGGTTAAAAATCAACCTGATAGTACTATAAGCTCCACAGGTTCTGTCCCCAGCAGCACAGTTCCCCCTGCTGGTGGTGGCAGCCCTCAACCCACAGAAACCATGGCAAACACCAAAGAGAAGACACCCATGTGTCTAGTAAATGAACTAGCACGTTTTAATAAGGTATGTTTACATTTTCCACTCTTAACCATATCATGTAGGATCTTTTGAGTAGGGTCCAATTTTGTCCTTGTCATCATTAAAACTCATAACTGTAATGGAAAAATTAATTTTGATTTTTGAGTCTCTTTGTAATGTTTTTGATTTCTATAATTTCAAAATTATTATTTTATAGTGCTGATTAAAAGTTTGCTTATTTACAATTAATGTAGTTGATAGCTTTAAAACTCTTGATTTATTTTATTTACACACACACACACACACACACACACACACACACACACACACACACACACACACACACACACACACACACACACACACAT